TATTGGCAGCGAAAAGGGAACTTAGTGTTCTTGTTACATTGATTCCTAGATACTTAAAGCCAGAGGGGCTCAATCTGAAGGGGACATCGGACTGGTTCAATTGTGATGCCAGAGCGTTAACAGGATAACATTCACTTTTGGAAATATTCACTTTGTAACCTGAGAATGAACCAAATTTCGTAAGAAAAGATACAATTGTTGGTATAGAGTTACTGGGGCTTGAGACATACAACAATAAATCATCCGCGTAAAGGGACAATTTAAATTCCATCCCCAGCCGCCATATCCCAGTGAAAGTGGTTGAGGTCCTCAGATATATTGACAAAGGCTCTATGGCTAACGCAAAAAGCAAAGGAGATAGTGGACATCCCTGACGGGTTCCTCTGGATAAATAATATAAGGAGATTGAACGCCATTAGTGGAAATACTAGCTTGTGGGGATGTATAAAGAAGGCGTATCCATGAAATAAATATATCACCCAGCCCAAATTTACTCAGTACAGTAAGTAAATAGTCCCACTCAACCCTATCGAATGCTTTTTCTGCATCAAGTAAGATCACTACTTCAGGGGTCGTAGCGGTGTTTTTGGAGTAGATAATATTTGCGGACATTGTAAAATAGTTGACGTCCCTTTATAAATCCTGTTTGTTCTTCAGAAACTATGGTTGGGAGAATATTTTCTAATCGACGTGCCAAAGCCTTAGCAAGTATTTTCGCATCCACATTTATTAAGGAAAGTGGCCTAGAAGAGCTGCAGAGATCCGGATCTTTGTCTTTTTTTAAAAGCAGACTTATGGAGGCTTGTCTTAAAGTGGGAGGAAGAGAACCATTCCGCAGAGATTCCTTATACACCGAGTGTATTAATGGGGCCAATTTAGATTTAAATCTTTAAAAAAAATTCTACTGGGAATCCATCAGGGCCAGGAGCTTTTTTATTTTGCATGTTATTTATAGCGAGGGAGATCTCATCTGGGGTTAATGGAGAATCAAGTTATTTTGAAACACCAGGACCTATAGTAGGGAAATTGAGATTGTCAAATAAAGCGCCCATCTCAGAAGTGTCGGATGGCGATTCAGACTTGTATAGAGAAGAATAGAATGAGCCAAAGACTGAGTTAATGGTACTAGGATCGGTATGCACCGTGCCTGATGAATCTTTTATCTGGAGGATTATACGTGAGGCTGCCTGACGACGCAATTGGTGGGCCAAAAGGCGGCTCGCCTTATCACCATGCTCATAATATGTTGAACGTGAGCGTAAAAGAAGGCGCTCTGCATCATTAGTTGTTATGAGATCAAATTCCGTCTGTAATTCAACTCGATCTTTGTGTAAATTGGGAGAGAGACAAATGGCTAATTGCTAATCTATTTTTTTTATCTTGCACGATATATCTTTAATTTTGGCAGAACGAGTTTTATTTAACTGCGCATAATAAGAGATGATTTGGCCCCGTAGGTAGGCTTTTAATGATTCCCACAACAGAGAACAAGAGATGGGTTCATTGTCGTTTTGATTGTTTGTAATAAAATCATCAATTGAAGTTGCAATACATTTATTAAATGTGTCATCTGACAACAGCAAAGTATTAAACCTCCACGGCGTTGAGTATCGTGGTTGCGGTGAAATCCAAATATCCAGAGAAAGAGGAGCGTGGTTGGAAATTACAATAGGGTGATATTTAACTGACGACACTTTGGTAATAAGTTTGGCATCGATGAAGAAATAATCAATTCGAGAAAAGGCTTTGTGCATATGAGAAAAGAAGGAATATTCCTTAATGCGGAAAACATACATTATTGTACTCTGGAGGGGAGTTTGACAGGGTATTACTCAAAAGGTACACGATAAAAGTACTTGATTGTACTTGTGGCAGTACTCCAAGTAGTATTCTGTCCAGCAGTACCACTTTCACTGAGAACTTATGGCAAAAAATCATTTTATCTCTCATCAAAGATGGCATAAAACATACATTATTGTACTCTGGAGGGGAGTTTGACAGGGTATTACTCAAAAAGTACACGATAAAAGTACTTGATTGTACTTGTGGTCCTACTCCAAGTAGTACTCTGTCCAGCTGTACTACTTTCACTGAGAACTTATGGCAAAAAATCATTTTATCTCTCATCAAAGATGGCATAAAACATACATTATTGTACTCTGGAGGGGAGTTTGACAGGGTATTACTCTAAAAGTACACGATAAAAGTACTTGATTGTACTTGTGGCAGTAGTCCAAGTAGTACTCTGTCCAGCAGTACCACTTTCACTGAGAACTTATGGCAAACAATCATTTTACCTCTCATCAAAGATGACAGAAAACATACATTATTGTACTCTGGAGGGGAGTTTGACAGGGTATTACTCAAAAGTACACGATAAAATTACTTGATTGTACTTGTGGCAGTAGTCCAAGTAGTACTCTGTCCAGCAGTACCATTTTCACTGAGAACTTATGGCAAAAAATCATTTTATCTCTCATCAAAGATGGCATAAAACATACATTATTGTACTCTGGAGGGGAGTTTGACAGGGTATTACTCAAAAAGCACACGATAAAAGTACTTGATTGTACTTGTGGTCGTAGTCCAAGTAGTACTCTGTCCAGCAGTACCACTCCCACTGAGAACTTATGGCAAAAAATAATTTTATCTCTCATCAAAGATGGCATAAAACATACATTATTGTACTCTGGAGGGGAGTTTGACAGGGTATTACTCAAAAACTACACGATAGAAGTACTTGATTGTACTTGTGGCAGTAGTCCAAGTAGTACTCTGTCCAGCAGTACCACTTTCACTGAGAACTTATGGCAAAAAATCATTTGACCTCTCATCAAAGATGACAGAAAACATACATTATTGTACTCTGGAGGGGAGTTTGACAGGGTATTACTCAAAAAGTACACGATAAAAGTACTTGATTGTACTTGTGGTCGTACTCCAAGTAGTACTCTGTCCAGCAGTTTCACTCCCACTGAGAACTTATGGCAAAAAATCATTTTATCTCTCATCAAAGATGGCATAAAACATACATTATTGTACTCTGGAGGGGAGTTTGACAGGGTATTACTCAAAAAGTACACGATAAAAGTACTTGATTGTACTTGTGGTCGTACTCCAAGTAGTACTCTGTCCAGCAGTACCACTCCCACTGAGAACTTATGGAAACAAATCATTTTATCTCTCATCAAAGATGGCATAAAACATACATTATTGTACTCTGGAGGGGAGTTTGACAGGGTATTACTCAAAAACTACACGATAGAAGTACTTGATTGTACTTGTGGTCATACTCCAAGTAGTACTTTGTCCAGCAGTACCACTCTCACTGAGAACTTATGGCAAAAAATCATTTTATCTCTCATCAAAGATGGCAGAAAACATGCATTATTGTTCTCTGGAGGGGAGTTTGACAGAGTATTACTCAAATAGTACACAGTAAAAGTACTTCATTGTATTTGTGGTAGTAGTCTAACAAGTACTGAGTCCAACAGTACCAATTTTTTAAGAACTTATGGCTAAAAATGATTTTATTCCTCATCAAATATCATTGATTGATTGATCAAATATAACATCAGCTCGTGTACTACCATCAGCGCCGCTTCTCGGCGATTACCGTAAAGACGCTATTAATCGTGCACTCAAAAATGAAGCGCTGCTCATTTGACCAAGCAAATGCGAGAGACGGCTGAGTTGACCGCAGTTAGCTGGGGCTAGTTCTCTTCGCTGTTAGTTCAACTTTCTAAGTCAGAACCCGTTTGCTTTTCCACCAACAAGAGCACGAGAAAAGCCACATCATGACATCACTGTGTACATCGCTGATTATCCCTCTCAATAACAGGGACTACATTCATGCATGGATTTAATAAGAGAACTGAATACGGCTTGAGAAGTCAAATGATTTACGAGGGAAAATAACTCTGGATTTGGCTTTAAGCGCATTTTACAACTTTAAGACACCAATGATTTAAAAAAGGGCTATTCACGTGTCCGTCCTGGGTAGTTGAATTAGCTTAAAGTATTTTTGGGACCAAATAACGTCACATACATGGATTATGTTGTATCACCGTTTGGGCCCTCAAAAATGTGCTGCAGTGTTTCGTCTCTCATCGACCAGCATTTACTATTTCCTAATGCCAGCTGCCGCTTGAAAGTAGTAATCCAACCACTGTCTGACTTTCAAACCCCTAATGTCCCATGATGCATAATTCCCAATGATTATATATTATTAACTTTTACATTGACAATATGTAACAACATAGTGTTGTTTGTTTAAGTTTCTCTCATATTTCATGGATGATGTTAGCCCAGCCACCAAAGCCATTCTGAAAAATCAACTACCCAATATAGGGCCAACAAAGCAAAAAGTGCTGGTCTTAATTGTCATCGAACATTAACCGCGCAGACCTATAGCATATTAATTATTCCCTACAAACTATTTGATTAAGTATACTTGTTCCACAATGCTAGCAAATAGGTTGTCATTCAAAGTATGGTGGATATGAAATAATATGTCTCAAGTATCCCTGGATAATATTGCACAGCATTTATAAATCTATTAATAATAATACATATTATTTTTATAGCGCTTTTACAAGTGCTCAAAGACACTTAGCATACACAATATGTTCAACAAATGCTCTGTAATAGTGTTCTAGCCACTTTGTGATCTCTGCGCTTCTCCTTTGCAACAACTTTGAGCTTTTCTCATGAGTTGTTGTTGCTCCACTCAAGCCTCTGAGGTACCCGGACCCCGGTTCTTGGTGCCAGAATGGCAGAGTGTTGGTGCCGCAGTTAAAACTGTTTTTGGGGCCGAGAGCCGGCGCCACAGAATTGGAAACATGAAAATCGGCCCTGGAACGGCCTAGGTGGAAAAGGGATAATAGGGGTGGTGTGAATTTATAGAAGAAGAGCTAGAGTGACTTTTGTTATGAGGGGTGAGTTTGCTTTTCCCAGGGAGGCTATATCGTTGTCATAACTCTTCTCCATCTCTTCCTCAGCCTTCATCACTTCACCCAATGTCTCTCTCCTCTCCATTGCTGCTGCCATCGAGGTTATCATTGAAGATCCAGTGTTCAGGATATCTTCACTCAGAGCGATTTACAGCTCAGCTACCTACAACATCACCTACTGGCAGGACGGCCAGAGGCAAAAGGTGTGATGAACTCTTTAGGTGTGGTTTCAGGGTTTCCCAGGTCGCCCAGGTATATTAACGGCCGCCCAAGTATATTTTGCGATATTTTATTTAATTGTTTTAATTCGTCCGCGATCACGACGCCATATGCGATCGATTTACTTGTGGACAATGATCCCTCGCTTTACGCCTCCTCTACCCAGTCCCTGACTTTCCCGATGGCCTGGCCTGTTAAGTGGCCTGCCTCACACAGGGTGACTGGCTGTCTACATGATGTGGCCTGCTGACATGGCCACTGTCATACAGATCATAAATCAAAGCCCTTGATTGGTCTCTGTGTGTCATTCAAGCTTGGGATAACCTCAGCTCAGGTGAGGTAAAGGACTCTGAAGCCTCATCCCAATACCCCTCCTCGACTCCTCCTTTCCCTCACTCGCCTCCCTTCCTTGCGTCTTAGCTCCGCCTCCGTAAGATGCGAGCGAGAGACACGAGGAGGTGACACAAGGACAGAGGAGTCCTCAGGTATTAATTGGGATGTCCTCGTTCACTCAAACGTCACTCTTAAACGACGTCTGTTAATGATGACATGTGCACAGCTGTATCCCCTCTCATCGGGCTTAACTGAATAACCCCTTAGAACCGGCCCATTTGTTGGTAAATATTTATTTAAATGAATGAATCTTTCTCTTGTTAGTCAAGGAATTCAATGTATGATGGTTGGTCCTGCTTTTGTGTTCCGTTTTGGTGTAAAATGTAGCCTACATTTAAATAAAAATATAATGATAGTAATGTGAAAGCCTTTAGGCTACTCTGAAAATGTGTGTCCTGTAGATCCCCACATTCACCACAAACCCACATTCAGGATTGTGCATTTTAAATAATTTAACTCCTGAATATCTTCACACAAAACAATACAAATAATTGTTATTTATCAAGATCTAGCCATTTATGAAATAGCTTTCTTAATAACTATGTTTCAGTGACGTTAAAGATCATTAAACATGACTTAAATTGTTAGTATAACCTTAAGAAATGAATTGCACATAATAATTCCCACGGAGCTGTGAGCACTTATACATTTATGTGACGCTTTTCCACTCATCTTCCAGTTGTCGGTTTTCCTCTGTTGAAATGGACCAGCTGTGAAGGTGGGGGCGGGGCTTTTAACGAGTAGTGAAAACACTTCCGCGTAGTCTGCTCTCGTGTATCCTCCCTTTCGTCTCCTCCCGCACCCCTCCTCCCTCACCCCTCCTCGACTCCTCCGTGTGCATTTCAGCTATTGGGACGTCCTTAAAAATGGCGTGTCTTGATCGATTTCCGGGTCAAGACCCGGAGGAGGGGAAGAGAGGAGTCGAGGAGGGGTATTGGGATGAGGCTTGAGTGTTTAGATAGTTAACTTAGTCTAAGTTCTCAGTGGGTCTCAAACGGTTTGGTCACCATTTATGTAAACACATATTTCCATTTGAGAGGGTAGTAATTAGTAAAATATGCATGAATACAATTTTAAAAAAGTTAACTAGGTGAAAAAAGGTAACTTTTAAACCTGTTCGGCCCCGAGCCTGTCTTTCAGGTCTCAGGCTCGAAAATGACATTCCCAGAACAAATGACCATATCTTCCCTTCTAAAAGGGTTAAATTAATAATATTTTTTCTCAAAGTAATGATACCTGTGAGTTGGATGTAGAAAAGTCAGAATCAATATAGATGTTTTTTATTTTAAAGAAAATTCAGATTGAACATGGTAAAAAACTGTGTCCGTCCAAAAAATATTTTGTACTTATAGTGAAAACTAACTTTGGATGATGGGTTAGTAGACTAAAAGATTTAGGAATCCAAAGTACAACATATAATAAGTACCCTGTATCAAGATTGATGCAAAACAAGTGATATTTGACCTTTTTAGACAGATTTAACAAAAAAAAACTCTTCTGGGGCCATTTGGGTGGATTTTCCTTATCTCTGGCCCCCCTTGTTCGATTTTGACATGTGACATCTCTTTCTGACCGTTAGAGCCAATAGAATCCAATGGAAATCGTCCCGCACACACTCATGTTAAAAAAAGGTAGCCTCTCTGCGCATGCTAGCTTGCCTTAGACATGACTTAGAATTTAGAGGGGAGAAATATCGCTGCTCTGATATCAAGCAACGGAAAATTGTTATTGCTTATGGATTATCAGAACATTTCAAAGGGGACGCAGTCACATTGGATTAACCTATGGATTAACTACGTCATCGTTTTTGTCGTTTTAATGCCATTGAAGACCAGTTTAGACCAGACAAAGACGAAGGTAAGCCATGTTAGCGTTGTGGGCTACCTAACGCCACTTGTTTTGATGTACGTTTTTGTTGATAACGTTGCGAGTTTGTATCTTTCAGTGTTGAGGTGGGCACCGTTAGATTATGTGTCTCCTTGCGATTATAAACGATGTGTTGGATGTGCACCTAGGATCAGTAATAAGGGAGCCAGGAGTGATTATCGGTGCAGTAATAGGTTAGCATTTTTCGCTCAGGTCATTTAGATGCTTCTTATGAGACTTGTGTTTTGTTTTGGTAAGATGGTTTGTATCGTCAGTTAGCTGAGATTATTCCCGTTAATCTGGTATAACACATTAATAGGTTCTTACATATTAAGATCCCCTGAGACACAGTGTCGTGAAAAAAAAAACTAAAGTACCCGCCGGCGGGGACCTTCGGGCTTAACAGGTTTTAAAACTTGTTGAGAGCTAAAACTAGTCTTTGCTGCTGCCTCAAAGAGGAGCAGGGGGAGAGGAGGGAAAGGAAAGGAGGGAGAGGCTGATTCAGGAGCACAGACACACTCACAACTATAAATGAACCAAAAATAAATAAATAAACAAGTTTCAGTGTTTTTCATATAGGATATGGTATGTTATTGGTTATGGCCATGATTTGATGATTACAGCGGTAATTAAAGTTTAAAAGTCTCAAAAATGCTACAACTACTGTCACAAACTGGATGAATGTGAAGTATTTTGTTAAAGGAGGATGAAAGCGTAATTAAGGAGCACTATTGGAGTAATGGTTATTGGACTCAGGATTATTTGGATTCCCGCTGTATGAAGAAATTAAAGGACGGCGCAAGTGAAAACAATTCACAAAGGGATTAAACTGTTTAAAACACATGCTCAAAGTAAGCCGGATTTTGCCGATGTGTTTATGTGGATTCAAAAGTCGTAAATAATCTACAAAATGGAGGAGACCGATCTGATTGGAGCAACTGTTACAAATAATCCAACTGAAACCGGCATGGACAATGACTTGGTTTTAAAAATGCGCTTATCCAGGCAAGCCTGGTTTGACACTTTATGGGCAGAAGAAACATTTCTATTAAAGAAACAATTATACATTTCTGTCTTTTTATGCCTTTAATACTAACTTGAATTTTTATTAAAATTAATTAGTTAATTATTTTTTATATTTTATTGTAATGTAGAGACAAGGCTTTTAGTGACAATCAATTATTGCCTTACAATTATATGTAAAAAAGGTGGGGAACCACTGCCCTAGAGGATTTGAGGTCCACCCCCACTTAAAATCACATGGATAGGTTCCTAAATACATTTACCATTTTTTTAAAATAGTAACCCATGTCCATATATTTATTTGTGGGTAGTAGATTTAAACTATAGAGCTATCACTATGGGCCCTGCCTGTACCTGTTCGCTCTGCCATGACGTGAAGGGTCTGCTAACAAGCAAAGGCTAATGTTAATGTTGTTGCACGTCACAAAGGCACGTCATCCCCCCCAAGTATATTTCAGATATGTGGGAAACACTGGGTTTGTTTCACAGTAGATCTCAAAAGGTTCCAATGTGGCACACTAGAGCAACGCATTATAAGTTATTTCTATAGCATGAAGAGCATGGGGTGAACTGAGGGGGGGGGGGGATAAGAGTGCAGCATGGTTATCTGTGACCTCTGTAGTGTCCTGTAGCCGCTGCACACCTCCACCCTCCTAAACACTCCTCTGCTTTTCCTACAGACCAAGAACATGAGCAACATCCTGCAGAACCGGGTGGTTCTCAGTGACCTGGAGCCCTGGACCAGGTACTGCGTCCAGGTCCAGATCAGCACCAGGAGGAGGCCCAACCACCTCAGCCAGCCCAGCACCGCTATTTGTGAGAGCACCACCATCGGTACGCTCTTTACTGGATTGATTCATTTCTAAAAACACAGTGGGGGAAATGCTGGTAATCTTTTAATCGACTGGTCGATAGCGGGGAGATTCCCAGTCGATCGTGAGATGTGTCTAAAAATAGAACAACAATATTCTGTTTTATCGTCAATGTCCTATAACATAATCTTCCTGTGCCAGAATAATGCACTTGAACGCATCAAAGCTTTGTGATTGGCCGGCGTGACACCATGTGTCAGAGCGTGGCGTGTCAACAGGAGTGACAGTCCGCACACACACAATTATGGCAGAAGCAAAAAAGCCCAAAATATATAATTTTCACCCCGAGTGGGAGGATCATTATTTTTGTATCTATTCCAATTCAAAGTCCATCTGTCTCATCTGCAATGCGAGCGTGGCTTTATCGAAGAAGGGTAATTTAGGAGCGGCATTTCAAAACAGTGCACAAACGCTACGAGACGGAATTCCCTCCTAATTCTGCCCTACGCTCCCAAAAGGGGAGGGGCCTGAAAGGACAGCTAAATGCACAGCAGTCCATTTTCACCAGGCCCAACAACAAGAGCAAGGCTGCTACCATAGCATCTTATCGTGTCAGTCACGTTCTTGCGAAACACATGAAGTATTTCAAAGATGGCGAAGTTGTGTAAGAAGCATTCCTGGAGGCTGCCGACGCGCTTTTGGGGGACAGTAAAAATAACAGTAGCATTTCAACAGGTTTTTGATATAATAAAAACTCAAGTTGGATACCGTTATTAATCAGCTGTAAGTTTTTGTTTGTTTGAACTTCTTCATTATAATTATTGTACAAAATGGTATAAGAATGCAAACTTAAATTGATTATAGTCTATTATCAATTCAGGTTAAGAAACTAGTGTTGCTTGCATCCTATTTTAAAGGCATTTATTTTTATAATCTACTAAAATGCAACAAAAAAAGGGTTTGATTCTATTAATTTTGTCTCTTTTATTGCACTTTGGCAGCAGATTCCTGTGTAGCTTCAGATCTGAATTGTCTTATTAGTAAGCCTAATTTATACTTTTGTAGCAACACTATTTTTATATAAGGACAAAGAAAGGGTTCAGTGTATTTTATTTTTTTCCTGTGTCATATGTGGCAGCACTGTTCAATGTTTCTTGAAAATATTACCCACTGTAGTATGTGACGTGTGAATAAACTCCAACTCTGTATCAACAACACTGTTGTGTAACTTCAGTTAAATACTTGTATGTGTGTAGATTAGAAAGAGGTAAGATAAAGGATCTGCAGTATTTTATGAAGTATTAATCGTACAAAGGTCAGTTTTATACAAGTAGTGTGTATTTACCTGGTAGTAGGCTGTCTGTAATGGCTACGCCTCTCTATTTGGACTGGTAGATCTCGGCAGACTGGCAACTTTAAAAGTAGCTCTCGGTTCAAAAAAGGTTGGGCACCCCTGTTCTAGCTCCTCCATGAGAAATGCTCTTCTGGATGAATAGGCAAACATTTCCACAGACACACTGCAAAATGTTGTAGAAAGCCTTCCCAGAAGAGTGGAAGCTGCAATGACTGCTTCAGATCTAAAATCATTTTGTGTCAAAACATTACATCATCATTAGAAACGTGCTAATCCCAGCTGTGTTTCTCTGCTTCTTTTGCAGATGAAGAGGCTCCTTGGGTGGCAGCCGTGGTGACGTTTGTCGTCACGGCGATGGCAGTGGCTCTGGTGGTGATTGTGGTGGTGTATCGGAAACACATATCCCGCTTTCTCTGTCCAAAAGACGAACTGCCTCAGCACTTTAATGAGGTGTGTATGTGTATTTTTTAACCTTTTAATAATACATGAACAAATATTTTGGTTATCAATCTCAATATTCTAATTTATCAAATACATGTAGTACATTATAAAAGTACAATATTTGCATCTGAATTGTGAATTGTAGTGGAATAGAATAGTAAAAGTCGCAGGACATGTAATTACAAAATTAATGTACCTTACATTTTTTACAATTACAAGTAGTTAAGTAAATATAATAACTACCAGTCCAGCACTGCTCAACTATTTTCCCTTCAAACCCTGTTATGTCTTTGCTCATGAGGCAAGTAACATGAAATGGCAAAATGTCCAAAAGAAATGGCACACTCACTCCCTCTGTACGCATGTGTATTTGTCAGAGGTGGACAAAGTTTTCAGATTCAGTACTTCAAATTTGAAGTAACAGAGTGTAGGAATAGTGTGTTACAAGTACAATTCCTGCATTCAAAATGTTCCTCAAGTAAAAGTAGATAAGTATCAGCATTAGGGTTGCAAAGGGGCGGAACATTTCCGGTAAATTTTCAGAAAGTTTCCATGGGAAGTTAAGCTGGGGAATTTTGGAAATATTCTATGCAAAATTAAACAAAAAACATGACATTTCAACAGATTTCTTCTTTTTTTTTAAGTAGAACAGAACAAGTTTTAATTATTTAATTATTTATTTGTTTCATTGAAGAACGAAAACAGGAATGTTGAGTTAAATATCACTCATCCCCCCCAACCCCACTCATTAAACAATGAACAAAAATGTACCCCCCATCCAAAAATCCCCACAAAGTCCCATTCAAAATGTTAAATGAAAAGATGTGGCTTCATTTGTCTTGTGCTTTTGGCTCAAAAGTGTGATCCAGTCTTCTTGAAATCATCTGTGCATGTGATGGAGGAATGCACAGTAGGGGGTGTGGTCCCAATAGCCATGCAGTAAGCAGTGTGCTATGGCATGGATATTCAAGTGCACTTGAATGGTATCTGTTTGTTTTAGGCAAGGCAAGTTTATTTATATAGCACTTTTCAACACAAGGCAATTCAAAGTGCTTTACAAAAAATGAAAGAGATTAAGAAAATGGCATTTAAAATCAGTCATTAAAAAGAAAAGCTAATAAAATAAACATTAAAAGAAAAAATACATGGATAAAAGTTACAGTGCAGTCTAAGATATGAATAGTTCAATTAAAAGCAGCGACAAAAAGAAAAGTCTTCAGCCTGGATTTAAAAGTAGTCAGAGTTGTAGCGGACCTGCAGGTTTCTGGGAGTTTGTTCCAGATATTTGGAGCATAATAACTGAACGCTGCTTCTCCATGTTTAGTTCTGACTCTGGGGACAGAAAGCTGACCAGTCCCTGAAGACCTGAGAGATCTGGATGGTTCATAATTTAGCAGGAGGTCAGAAATGTATTTTGGGCCTAAACCATTCAGTGCTTTATAAACCAGCAGCAGTATTTTAAAATCTATTCTTTGACACACAGGAAGCCAGTGTAAAGACTTCAGAACAGGAGTGATGTGATCCACTTTCTTAGTGTTAGTGAGGACTCGAGCAGCAGCGTTCTGAATCATCTGCAGCTTCCTAATAGATTTTTTAGTGAGACCTGTGAAGACACCATTGCAGTAGTCGAGTCTACTGAAGATAAAAGCATGGACAAGTTTTTCCAAATCCTGCTGTGACATTAGTCTTTTAATCCTAGATATATTCTTTAGGTGATAGTAGGCTGATTTAGTAACAGTTTTAATGTGACTGTTGAAACTCAGGTCAGAGTCCATGACTACACCTAGATTTCTGGCTTTATCTGTTGTTTTGAACATTGCAGACTGAAGCTCAGCGCTAACTTTTATACGTTCTGACTTGGCTCCAAAAACCATTACCTCAGTTTTATCTTTGTTTAATTGGAGAAAGTTCTGACACATCCAGTCATTGATTTGTTCAATGCACTTACTCAGTGTTTGAATTGGAGCATAGTCTCCTGGTGAAATTGTTACGTAAATGTGTGTGTCATCTGCATAGCTATGGTAACTTATTTTGTTGTTCTTCATTATCTGAGCCAGTGGTAGCATGTAGATGTTAAAGAGAAGAGCTCCCAAGATGGAGCCTTGAGGAACCCCACATGTCATATTTGTCAACTCAGATGTGTATTTACCTATAGAAACAAAGTTGTTTCTGTCCTTTAAGTAGGATTCAAACCAATTCAGAACTGTTTCCGAAAGTCCCACCCAGTTTTCCAGTCGGTCTAGTAATATGCTGTGGTCAACAGTGTCAAACGCAGCACTGAGATCTAATAATACTAACACTGAAGTTCTGCCACTGTCTGTGTTTAAGTGGATGTCATTAAAGACCTTTACAAGAGCAGTCTCAGTGCTGTGGTTTGGACGAAAGCCTGACCGGAACACATCAAAACAGTTATTTAAATGCAAGAAATTACTCAACTGTTGAAAAACAACTTTTTCAATGATTTTACCTAGAAATGGGAGGTTTGATATGGGCCTGTAATTGTTCATTACTGAAGCATCTAGATTATTCTTTTTTAAGAGCGGTTTAATGACTGCAGTTTTCAGGGCCTGTGGAAAAATACCTGAGTGAAGAGATTTGTTTACTATATGAAGTAGATCTGAGGCCATGCAAGGCAAAACATCTTTGAAAAATCCTGTTGGAATAATATCAAGGCAGCAGGAGGATGATTTCAGAAGTTGAATAATGTCCTCTAGGTTTTTATCATTAATCTGATGGAATTGTGTCATGATGTCTGAATTGATGTTAAGTGGAGATAGGGACAACACATTTGCTGTTCCTGATGCAGAGGCACTGACTGCTTGTCTGATTTTCTGAATTTTGTCAGTGAAAAAGGCAAAATCATTGCACGCCCAGGTGGATAGAAATTCAGAGGCTACTGACACTGGGGGGTTAGTTAGTCTGTCGACGGTAGCAAACAAGGCACGTGCGTTGTTTTTGTTTTTGGTAATGATGTCAGAGAAGAACGATTGTCGTGCGTTTTTCAATTCCAAATTATAAAGGCCAAGTCTCTCTTTATAGATTTCAAAGTGAACCTGGGGATTTGTTTTTCGCCACCTGCGTTCAGCTTTTCGACATTCTCTTTTTTCTGTTTTCACGGTCATGGCCTTTCTCCATGGAGATATTTTCTTGCCAGACACTTCCTTTAACCTAGTTGGAGCAATGGCATCTATAACATTTTTAATTTTTGAATTAAAATGATCTACTAGCTCATTTACTGAGATGTTAGCAGGGGCAAGTGTGGAAGAGAAATTCTGAGTAAACATTTCCCTAGTATTTTCAGTTAAACATCGCTTTGTGGTTACCTCTTTTTGAACATTTTTGTGAACAGAAATAGAGCTCTCAAAGAAAACACAGGAATGGTCAGAGAGTGCAACATCAGTCACCACAACCTTAGAGATATTTAGACCCTTTGAGATAATTAAGTCCAGAGTGTGCCCCTTATTGTGCGTGGGCTCCGTCACATGCTGAGTCAGAATTTAGTCAAGATTATGCTAAAATATACTTTTCCCAACTATATTTAAGTTCCCTATGAAGAGCCAACCTTCAATTTAGAAAATTCCCAGTTTATTCCCATAAATTCCCGTTTATTCCTGTTTATTCCCGTTAATTCCCATGGAAAGTTTCCATCTTTGAAATCCCGGAATTTTGCAACCCTAATCAGCATCAAAATATACTTAAAGTACCAAAAATAAAAGTATTCATTATGATTGGCCCATTCCAGAATAATATGAAATGTTTTATAATGATTGATCATTAAAGTGTTCTCAAAGCTGGTAAAGGTGCAGCTAGTTTGAATGACTTTGTATACTGCAGGGTAGCTTGTGAATTTACTCCAGGTGGAACTAAAGTCTGATTTAACAGTCAATTATATTTCACATCATTCATCCAAATCTGTAAATTAACTAAAGGTATTAAATAAATGTAGTGGACTAAAAGTACACAATTTACCTCTTAACTATAGTGGTGTATTAGTAGTAAAACATTTTACTCAAGTAAACTACAAGTCCCTCAAAATTGTTTTTAACTACAGGACTCGAGTAAATCTACTTTGTTACTTTATGCCACTGGTATTTGTTCAGTAAGAGTCTTTAGCCAGGTATTAAACACAAGTTCCTCCCCCCCCCTCAGGACCTGACGAAACGCCATAACTCGTCCTGGTACATAGCCATAGCCGAGGAGATCTTCCACCAGGTGAGCATCATCCCAGACAGCAGTGTCCTGGAGGCAGAGCACCCTCTGGAGGCAGAGCCGCCTCACAACACACAGACATAGAAGCAGGGGGGGAACCGCAGAGACAATGAAGAAGAGCTGATCTGCAGTCAGGTGAGACTGTAACAGATTATCAGCAGGGACACTGAGAAACAGTGGAAGCATGGATTCTTACCTGACATCAGAGTTTGAGCACATTTTCCAGGAGTCTCATGTGAAACAGTGAAGAGGGGAGATGGCAGAGCGACAGGAATGATAGCTCATCCTGCTGATGTTGTTCCTGTGATGGACAGGTGTAATGATGCCCTCATTTCACCTCATGCTGATAGAAGGAGCATGGCACCCACACAAGTATTTATGCTGCCATGGTCAGGGTCGGGAGGATTATTTAAAAAAAAAAAGTAATTGCTAGTTACCTATACACGTTTTTTTAAGTAACTTCATCTGGGTATTGAAATATTAAAATAATGTAACCCGATTGATGCTTTCCGTTACTCTTGGATTACCTAATTGTCAAATACAGGCTAATAAATAAAAGAGAAAATAAATAAATATAAGATGTTTTTTACTTAAAGGTGGGGTAGGTAAGTTTGAGAAACCGGCTCGAGATACACTTTTTGTTATATTCCATGGAATGCTCTTAACATCCCGATAGCAATGAATATCTGAAGTGCTTTGACAACAAATCCATAAAAAACATCATCTGTGGAAGCCGTAGCGCTGTAAAAAGCACGACAAATCATCTGAGCCGGCCCGGCTAAAGTAACCGGATGGCCTACCTGCCTGTCAGCCTTCCATCTGTGCACAAACTTATCTCGTGCCCTCATTGGTCATGTGCGCATTCGAATGTGTTGGAGGAGGGGCTCTGTAAGGAACTGGCAGATTTTTCCGGCTGTGTATTTTCAAATTCTCGCGCACTCGAGCTGGTTCTTCCAAAATTACTTACCCCACCTTTAAAACAACAGAACTATGAAACCTTAGAAAAAAAATAAACCTACATATTTAGTATGGAAAATGAATTAATTTGAAGGAAAAACTGTCTTTCATTAAGCATATTCAGGCAGTAGCCTATGCATCTTAATCATAAGAAGTGGTTTTATTTACAGAGGGTCTAACAGACATGTTGTATCAGGAGCATCATTCCACTGACAAGCCAACAAAGCAAACACCACTCGCTGCACATCATTCCATTACAATGATCTGTTCATCCCCAAGCCTTGCCATGGTGCTATAAGAACCAACATTTACCATGTGATGTAAAACACTGCATAATCTGCCGTTCAATAGGCATCACATTTTGTGAAGCATTCATAGTTTTAATATCCCTTATTGTGGTAATAGGACATTTTCCTAATTGTATTTTTATGGTGAACATTGAAAACTAAACTAAATGTATTTGTCTCTCACAGTTAGCTAAATGTTTAAACTTTATTGTTGTACTCAGTTCCACTTGAATAAAGTATTTTTGTACTTGTGCTATGAGTTGCTGTGTTGATTGAAAAGAAACAATACACAGAAACGTTAAGAGTCGTTCATGAAATGGAATTCAAATAAATGACCTGTATTGCTAAAATATGAGGGGGAAAACATGTGATAATGAGTAACTGTGGTAGATCATTATCACATCAATATTTGTACTCAATGGGTTTTCTTTGAACTTAGAATCCTAACATTTTTAATAATATTTTTGTGTCCGACATGGTTGTTCTAGCAAAAAAAAGTCCCTTATTCAGAAGTTGAGAACCTATGCAAGTTTTATTTTGAAATGTTATTGAACATGTCTCCTAATGCACTGAATAGTCCATTCTCAGTCTTATGGCACATTTCCATTGCAGGGCCTCGCTCGGCTTAGTACGGTATAGTTAGCTGGGGCAGTAACTATAGTAACGCAGTGTTGGTGGAGCCGTGACGTCATCTTCAATGTGAACCACAGAAAAACAACATCAGTCGTTAGCTGTTAGCCCTCAGAGCTCACAGCTCCTCATATCTGTTCAGAAACTAGACAAAAGTTAAACAAGTACAAACCACAGACTGTCTGTGTCATGGAGAATACAGTCACTGGTTTATTTAATTAGACCCTCCAGAAAAACGCGATTCTGCGATCGCAGAATTTACCGCATAATCAGCAAATTGGCGCAGATTTTTAAAAGGCCGCATATTTATCAAAAGGCCGCATAATCAGGGCCGCCTTCATGCACGGGCTGACCTGGGCTGAAGCCCAGGGGCCTACATAGATCGGGGGCCTATCATGAGCCAATTAAAAAAAATTAAATTAAAAAATTAAAATCTTTTATCGGGTGTTTTATTTTTATTTTAAATAAACAAAGTCTTGGCTTTCAGAATATGAAACTTGTATTTCCAAAATCACACGATAAATACATTTTTGAAGCTTGTAAAGGGAAGAAGACAGCTCTCCCTCGCCACTCTGCTGTTCCGCAGCGCTGCCCCCCTCTCTCCGCTGAAATTATGAATGTAAGGCATATAGTAATCATAGATAACACGGCAGGGTCCGTTACAGTTTGTTTTCATCTGATTTCAAATAAACAAAGTCTTGGCTTTCAGAATATTAAACTTGCTTCGGCAAATTCAGATGATAAATACAACTTTGAAGCTTCGGCATAATTACAAGCGGAGAACGGAGTAACTTGACGTCACAGCAGGCATAACAACAGCCGGTGTTTCTCGTGAGTGTTTTCCCCAGGAAACAAACACAATACACACAAACGCAAAAATACACAAACACACACACGTATACACACACACACACACACACACACACACACACACACACACACACACACACACACACACACACACACACTCGCGAGCTTCCCCCAGACCAGTAATCCAAACAAAAATATCTTCCCTCCATACTATTTTGATCATTTGCTCCGCTAATCAATCAGATCGATGGATTCCAGAGATTTTTCTCAAAAATGATGACTCCGTAACAGTCAGTGGTCACCACTTAACAGCCAATCAGAATGAGAATATGTTTCACTTGTGACTTATTCAAATTGCGAGTGATTGAGTGACAGATGAAGGTTGTTTAGGAGAAAATGTCAGAGAAGAAAAAGTTTGAGAGTGGTGCTGGGAAAAGGAAACCTAACACTGATGTCAATTGAGCATGACATTCTTCGTGAGATGGATTTTAAGAACATCATAAATAATTTTTCGGAAGCACTGCAAAAGAGGTAAGGCAATGCTGCACTATTCATTGATTCCCAGTAGCCTGCAGGTTTAAATGTGTTGTGCATCGTTTTACATAACTAGGTTTGTGTTAATCCACCGGAGATAATGATCATTCTCCTCTACTGATACCTGGCATTGAGGCCATATGTTGCTGTTCATGGTGCTGAATTAGTGGTGTGTGTGTGTGTGTGTGTGTGTGTGTGTATGTGTGTGTGCAGAGCCTGCCGAGGCTATAAATTACTTTGATTTGTTGTTTAAATAGGGGGCCTACAAAAAAAAATCAGCCCAGGGCCTGATGGCAGGTTAAGGCGGGCTTGCGCATAATCCCCGCATTTTGCCACACAAAGTTGAGGGAAAAAAAGTTAACTCGTCTTGACGTGAAGTGATGATGATGAAGACGCGACGTCATCAGCTCGCGCATCACAGAAGGTAAACAACACCGTAGAGTGAACGTGTGGAGCTCACACGAGAGAGAAAACACCAAGATGAAAAAATCTAATCCATCTCATTTACCGACGAACATTTCTGCTAAAGACCGGGCAAAGCAGTACCCCGATGTCTTGCACGAAAGTGGGGGGAAACTATTCTGCACCCCGTGCAACTGTGTTGGAGCATAAGAGAACATCGACGGTGACGACCCACTTTGATTCATTCAAACATTCGAAAATGCTTTCTGCTGCTGCGGACAAGAAAGCCAAACAACTCACGTTCACCGAGGCATCAACCTCCAAAACCCTTTCGAGGGCTACAAGAAACGAGGTGAGAAGCCTACAAGATTGAAGCTGGTCAGATAACGAACGAGTAAATGAAAACAGAATGAGGTGGAGAAGTGTGTGTGTGTGTGTGTGTGTGTGTGTGTGTGTGTGTGTGTGTGTGTGGTGTGTGTGTGTGTGTGTGTGTGTGTGTGGTGTGTGTGTGTGTGTGGTGTGTGTGTGTGTGTGTGTGTGTGTGTGTGTGTGTGTGTGTGTGTGTGTGTGTGTGTGTGTGTGTGTGTGTGTGTGTGTGTGTGTGTGTGTGTGTGTGTGTGTGTGTGTGTGAGTGTGAGAGAGAGAGAGTGTGATTAAAATAGCCCAATTTCTTTTACAATAAATAAACATTCAATGTGTTTAATTGAATAGTAAAGGGGTTTAACGTTAGTGGCAGGTTGTGTGTGAGATAGAATAAATAAATAAGACAGCCCAATATTTATTTTTTCCGCATATTTTGCAACATTTCGCAATTTCACCGCATTAAATCACATAAAACCCTGCATGTTTGATCGCATAATCAAGGATTTTTGCCCGCGTTTTTCTGGAGGGTCTCATTTATGTCTGTATAGGCCGTTGTGAGTGTGGACGGTCGGAGCATATACTGTGTTAGCTTAGCCGATCTCCTTTCAGAAAACACGCATTTTAAAAGGGTTTTCGCCTGCCGTCTTGTCTGCAGACTTGTCAAAGCATTAATTCATGGTTTTTACTAACCGGTATCAGTATGTTGTTACTTCGGCATCATTTTGAAACGTGTATTACAATTAAATCATGGTAAAATATGTTCATTTTGTTGTAGTTGTAGCCCCCTTGCCAGCGATTCTCTCTCTCCTGTTTAGCATACTCAGCCCGACTCAGCCTGGTTGTTGGCCCGCTAAGAACCTCGACTTTATGGGGCCAGAAATACTCTGAAAAAGTACCCGCTAGTCGGTACTACGCCAAGTGGAAACGCAACCAAAAACGCTTAAACTTCGCTGTAGTGGAAATGCGCCATTTACGGCCCCTACACACGGCGGCGTGCGTTGAAGCTTCAACACTTCTGCCCATTCACTTTGAATGGGGTGACGTCACGCTTCGCCGAACTGCATTGTGGGAGCAAAGTGTAGCATTGCTCGCTTCAAAAGTAGAGCAATGTTCTACTTTTGAAGCTTCGACGGAAGCGTCAGCCAATCGAATCATATGCCAGTACAAGCTCTAGCCAATCAAACCGCTGCTTGTGTGTCCGGGGCGGGAGATTCATGTGATTGGTTGTTGGTCGAGCATCAGACATGCACGCCGCCAGGTGTAGGCTCCGTTAGTGCACTTAATTACATTACATCGCATTTAGCTGACGCTTTTATCCAAAGCGACTTACAATAAATGCATTCGACCAAGAAGATACAAACTTGAAGAAAACAGAATCATATAAGTACATCAGGTTTCATAGAGCCAAAACATTTCAAGTGCTACTCAACTGGTTTTAGATAAGCCAGTCCTTTATTAGTATTATGAAGCCGACAATTGAGCGGCCCGACCAAGCAAGGAGGCAGAGGCAGAACGTCCAAAAATATAACCCGGTGTAGGCATTTATTAAATTCGAGCACAGGACACAGCTTCAATCTTGCTGTTCCCGTGAGCAGTCACAAGGATCTCACACACCTACCTAACAGGAAACACAGAGCCTAAATACCCACACTAATTAACCCAACAAGACACAGGTGAGGGGGGAGGAGACAACACAGGGCCCCAGGTGAACATAATCAGGAGGAACAGAAAAGACGGCAGGGGGAACACTTTTCAAACACAAACATTATAACTGAACAGAATAACACGGTGGTAACTTGTATAAATGATCTTTACATCATGACCTTTACACGCTAAAACATATAATTTGCACACAATGACTAATCTCAACCGCTGTCAATCTTACACAAACAAACACTTTCGGCGCTCTCGCTATAACTCCCCTCTCTTTCCAGGTGGAGCCGAGGGCCCGACCAGCGTCTGCCAGACGACATTCCAATTTAATACGGTTTAATCATTTAATAAATACTACATCAATAAATAGTATAAAAATGTGCAAATATGCAATGTTTAACTGTACTGTGCAAATCACGCTAATAAAGTGCAAACTGTTCACTAAAGTGCTGAGTGACATTTGTCCTGTGCAAACCCACATGTGCAATATTACCCGGCCCGAAGCCGTCAGTCCATAGTGACGGAGTTACCTTCGTCACAAGTATATAAGTGCTTTGTTAGTAATTCTTTGTTAGTAATTCTATCGCTCCAAGTGGAGTCGAAAGAGATGAGTTTTCAGTCTGCGCCGGAAGGTGTGTAAGCTTTCTGCTGTCCTGATTTCAATGGGGAGCTCATTCCACCATTTTGGAGCCAGGATAGCAAACCCACGTGTTTTTGCTGATGGGAACTTCCTCATCACACTGCTTAGAGAACTTAAGAAAAAGATTAGAAAAATAATATGAATATTTTACCACAATTAACACAACATGAATTTGCACCTTTAAAAATGTGACATTAAAGGAGTCCTACGTTGCTCATGT